CTACCATACATTTTCTTATAAAATGAATTAACTCAATTGGTAGGTAGAAGAGTGATGTCAATATATAAGGTGGAAGTTGGTTGATTCATATATGACTATTTCCCCTAATTTTTAGCCCCACTAGGTAATAGCCAATGAACACAAAATACACCGACAGAGTTGAATGCAGCAAGCCAAAGAATGGGCTGCACCTCGCATTCCTCCTGGGCGCTGTCTGGCCACTCTCTCTATTGGAAATGTTTATTCAGTCTTCTCCCCATCTTTGTAAATTTTATTTTGTTTGCATAAGTAATCCTTATTTCCTTCCATCAAGCTATCCCTACTGTATGTTTACTGGAGTGCTTATTACTTAGGAATTTATTTCTTTAACCATTTTTATTTTTATTAAAATTAGTATTGTTTTGTGAGTACTCTTGGTTAAAAGTTACATAAGTTGCCATGGTTCACCCAACCTATTTTTCCTGGAAGCAGTTATTTTTGCTGCACCATTTTGCACATGGTGAGGGTTTTTCACCAGTGTGTTATCACATGATGGCAGGAATGCTGGTAAAGCACTTTATAAAGCATGGGAAGAACTTGTCCTTTCATCCCGCTTTCTTTCTTTCTGTCCTTCTTTTTGTTGCAGGGAGCAACCTGGAAAAGAGAAAAGGAGGAATTTTTTTCCTTCTCTTGTCTCCGTATAATAAGTGTTGGTTGTAAGTGTTTAACTTCACCAACTGGAAACTTCACCTATCTTCATCATCAACAATGATGCATTTAAATATCAAAGGTCCCAAAGGAGCACGATTCTAATGTTACTGGTCATGTCTTAATTTTTACTTAAATTCTCTTAGTGTTTAACAAGGCCCAAGATTCTTTGTTCCAAATGTCTTTTCCTAAAAGTGGGTATTTTTTTTTTTTTTTTTGAGACAGAGTCTCACTATTTCCCCCTTGGTAGAGTTCCATAGCGTCACAGGTCACAGCAACCTCAAACTCTTGGGCTTAAGCAATTCTCTTGCCTCAGCCTCTCAAGTAGCTGGGACGACAGGTGCCCGCCACAATGCCTGGCTATTTTTTTATTGCAGCCGGATTTGAACCTGCCACCCTCGGTGCATGTGGCTGACACCATAAGCATTGTGCTGGAGGTGCCAAGCCTTTTTTTTGGAGACAGAGTCTCACTCTGTCACCCTGGGTAGAGTGCTGTGACGTCACAGCTCACAGCAACCTCAAACTCTTGGGCTTAAACAATTCTCTTGCCTCAACCTCCCAAGTAGCTGGGACTACAGGCACCTGCCACAACGCCTGACTAGTGAGTATGGTATTTTGGGTAATAGTCTCATTATATAATTTCCTCCTTATCATCACTTCACTGTTCTCACACATTTTTGGAAAAGATTTAGAAGTCTACAACTTTCCTTTATTGTTTGTGTATGTAAGATTTAATCAGGGCCTTTTTAGGCTTAGAAAGAGCTACATAACATTGAAGTTTTCCTTAAATTGTCTATGGCTCTTTTTTCACACAGTCAGAAATCTTGATTCTATAAAGTGCAAATTGTTGAAAAGTTGACTAAAAGGATGGGATCAAACTAAACTATCCATCCAGGTAAACAATTTGAGACAGCAACTTTTGGAGGAAATAAAGGGGACATATTTTAGAGCCCTCTGGCCCTTTCTCTAAACTCCTTGCCCTCAAAGCTTCCACACATATTCCAGAAAGTAGGAAAATATTTTCATGCCAAAAAAAAAAAAAAAAAAAAATTACAAGAGAACAAGGTTGCATAAATTCCAACAAAACATGTAATACTGATTATAAATGAGAGAAATACATTAATAAATCAAGGAAAAAACTGGAGTATGGAAGTGGAGCCAGATGTAAAGCTAAAAAAAGCACAAGTGCAGCATAAATTTGGCTCAGCTCTCTGGTAGCCAATGTGAGAAGGGTCATCTATCCAATATATCATGTCCATTAGCTGAGACAAAACAGTAATTTAGAGGACATGGACTTATTTTTGGAAATAATACCAGAGAACATTTTTCTGAAGAATTTATCATCTATGTGATGATAAGTAATATTTTTATAGTTGGAGGAAGTTACTAAGGATAAGAGGGCTAGCTTCTCTATTCTGCTTCAATAGAGGTAAGATTTAGTTGGAATGAAGTCTTTCTAGGCTAAAGAATATATGCAGATTATGGATAAAGGTAGTTTTATTACTCCTACTCTATAGTTCCTTGAAGGTAGAATTGGCTTATCATAGAACTTAAATGTTTTATAGTTGGTATTTATTAAATCATTGAATAAACATATAAAAATGCACATGTGGGAGGAGGGGGCTTAACGTGGGTCTCTACCTGCTTCCTACGACTCATCTTCCCTCACTCAGCACTGGGTAATGAGAAGTGTTTGGACACTAACAGGGCTGGCCAGAGGCGGTCTATTTGCTGAAGGTGTCTTTCACATTCACCTTTTTTGAACTCCTTTTGCCCAGTTTTAGCTCATCAGATGCCTCTCTGCTCTCCAGCACCAAGAACAGCATTTACCTTTGCTACTTTGTAGAGGATTCATTTTGGGGGGGCCTCAGAAGGAGTCCACATCTAACTAGCTCTGTCAGGGAAATGGGTACAAGGGGAGTTTCAACGAGTGCCTAGTATTTGCCAACCTTGAAATCTTATATACTTCAAGTGGTTTTTTTGAGGCCTAGGAGACAGATCTCCAATTAAACTCCTTTAGGCTGAGGACTTTTCCATTTCCTTCATTCATCAAACTATAAATGGCATTGTCATCCATTTAGAAAGTAAGGACTTTTCTGTTTTTAATTAAAAGATGCAAGATTTAGCTGGACTTACACCTATAATCTTAGCACTTTGGGAGGGTGAGGTGGAAGATGACTTTAGGCCAGGAGTTTGAGACCAGCTTGAGCAACAGTGAGACCCTTATCACCACAAAAAAGGTAAAAATTAGCTAGGTATAGTGGCATACATCCTGTAGTCCTAGGTACTCGGAAGGCTGAGGCAGGATTGCTGGAGCCCAAGAGTTTAAGGTTGACCTATGCTGACACCACTGCTCGGGAGACAGGGACCTTGTCTCAAAAAAATAAAAACAAATGTTTTTTGAATTTTTGTTTAGGGTTAGGAACTAAAAGACTTGTGTTTAAGATTCAGCGGCCAAGAATTAGCTCCATAACTTTTGGCAAGTCCCTTAATGTGTCTACAACTCTCAAGTTAATTACCTGCCCTTTCTGACAATAAGACCATTCAGTCAGGTCTTTAGCCTGTTACTGTTTATTTTACTGAGTAGTTTATCTTATGAATATATATATTTGAAGGCAGACACTGTGTTGTATTGGTTTGTATCCTAAATGCTTATCACAATGACTTTTACATTGTATATTCTATAAAGTATCCATTGGTCCACTGGATTAAGGAAAATATTTGGAAAACTTTACAGTGCTAAATAAATGTAAGCTGTTTGAGGGAAGCAGGCAGCTCTTTTTGGGCCCAGTAGTTTCTTCCTGTGGTCCTAGAAGCCTCAAGCAGTTAGTAGGAGTCCACATTGACAGACCGGACACTGCCAGGATGCTGATACAGCTTACATGTTCCTCCTTCTGGAAATGTCTTCACTCCGAAGGCCTTGGGTTTCCTTTGGATCATCTGGTGTCCAGGGTCATAAATTGGTCCCCAAGTACATTGCTCCTGATACTGTTGAACAATACCTGTAAAAATACCAAAATGTTGAATATTCATTCTATAGCACATTTTGGATACATCCAAATACTACAGGTTTCCATGGCTTTTCTATAATTACAAAACTGAGAAGTTATTCCCAGGGTGGCTATTAAGTTCATGTGCAATTTTAAATTGTACATGAACTTTATGGCCACCCTGTATATCAGACTATGTTGTCACGTGTAATTTGTATCTCACTATTGTTATATGGAGATACTATTGTTATCTCCATTTTATATGTGAGAGTTTTGAAAAAAAAAAAAGAGGTTAAGTATTTTGAATAAGGTTATAGTGGCAAGAGTGGTAGAGCCTGGATTCCTATGTGGGTGGTCTGGTTCCAGAGTCCAAGCCCTTAACCATTATGCTATGCTAGCTCTTAACTAAGTGGCTCGATAGCTGTATTTTTTTTTTTTTGACAAATCATTTATTTATTTTGAGAAAGGGTAACACAAATTTTGATACTTACTTTGCTTAATTACGAACTATCTACCGTTTCTGTCTATAGTTTCCCAAGTATTAACTGAAGCTATCTTCATGTACTTACATTGTAATGAGAACTCTACTCTTTAATATGGTAGAACCTCTGTAAGTTGACCAGCTAAGGGACTGTAAGAGGTCAACATACAAAGATGGTCAACATATGAAACTTCCATTGAGTACATGTGGTATGTGTCCTGTCTATGAAAATTAACTCAACTTATACAGGTGGACAATGTGGGAAGGTGGTCAATAATGGGGATTGTACTGTACATAAAAAACACAATCTGGAAGAATGTTTTCATTTGTCCGTATAGTAAAGGGATTGTTATGGAAGGTTTTTAAGAAAACAAACAAAACCACAGAAATCTACTTAAAATCACACACTAAAACTCTAAATTAAGGAGCTATTTTTTTTGGCCTCTAGTTTAAACCAAGACATTTATATAATAACTATTCCCAACAAAAAATGGTAATAATTATAACTGTAACGGCTTATTGTTCAATTATCTGGCAAAGCTGATGATTTTTTTTTATATATGTTTCCTTTCATAATGAAATATCTTGTATTAACACTAAATTTGATCAAATTAGTTATAATACTTAAAATACTTTAATATGCAATGAAAATGGCAAAACATTCAGCTATAGATATAAAATCCCAAAGCCCCAGTTTTTCATACCTCTCTTCTACAAAAGCTACTAATATGCAAAAACTATACATTAGTCATAGTTTGAATTGTCTTCAACTGTAACTCTTTTTTTAAGAACAATTTTAAAAAGGCAAAAACATTATTCACTCATAGATGATACGTAAGAATTCATCTATAAAAAGTGAGAATGCCAATGTTTTGTTTGTTACAAGAATGAGGGAAACATCAGAGAAATAAATTTGATAACATGACTCACACTTCATTGCAAGTGATTTTCCCAAATTCACAACTTTCACACTTGGCTGAGCTAAAAAGCAAAAAAAGAAAAAAAAAAAAACAAACCACCAACCCCCTAAAAAAAGGAACTTTCACTCCTTGTAAGTGGGCCAAGTCACATGATCTCTATACATGTGAGTTTAAATGAGTGCACTTTTCTAGCTGGGAAAATATTTTCCTGAATTTAGTAAGCCTAAATAATTTACCCATGGTGATGAATAAGTCCTTGGGTGATGTTCAAAAACCTCTTCCAGACTGTCTCAGAGGAATGACACAAAATTATGGAATATAGATGGAACATTTTCTGGGTTATCTTAATAGTTAAGACAAGAATTGAAAAAAATCCTACTACTTTGCTGTCTTTCAGGCCTTTTTCTCCAAAATGTACCATCTTTATTTCTTAAGGTTGTACAATGATGTAAAGTCCATTTTATTTAATGGATTACGTGTTCATCAACTTCAGCACCCTCTGAAAGTAGTAAAAGTAATTAGAACTTGGCTATTTAAACTGCTTCCTCATCTCCTCCCTTTCATTAACTGGAGAAATTTTATTTAGAAAACAATGAGGAAGAAGTACCAGAGCCTGAAGGCACCTAGGGACAGAGGGGATTTAAAGACTGAGAAAGCCTGGCTCTGCAGAGATAGGAGTCATACTGGAAATGTACTGAGTCTAAACGAACATTTCACCCTTCTTCCCAGCTTCAGCTTTAGAAAACATGTGCGTTGTCAGGAATGTGCATGGACCTTTCATAAAACTGGTATTTTCATTCGTGTTTATTTTTACCACAAAACAAAATAACTGGAAATACAAGTGCTTGGTACTACATTCTTCTGAGGCTTAAAAGCCCATTAAGAAGCACACTGTATCCGCTGTTGAGAGGACAACTTTTTAAAATAAACACGGCCAGAAGAATCTGCTCAGACAGACACTGAAATCACTCTTCCCTCCCCAGCCACGAGGGAAAAGGGCGACAGATATTGTCCCCTACTTGCATCATGGGAATCTCCCTTTCTCCTCCGACCTCCCTACCCTCTCCCACGCAGGTTAGGCCATCTGGGGAGGTAGCTGGGAGAAAAGGTCACGCTCAGTCCTCCATGGCAAAGTCTTTGGTCTTTTCCTCCTGGTCCCCCACTTTATAGCGCAGCAGCACGCGCAGGCGACGCGGGTTGTCTCGGGAGGGCAGCAGCGTGATCTCTCCTGAAATGTCCGTGTCTTGCTCCACTTGCACCGGCTCGTTCAGATAAAGGAGCGCCTGCTTCCAGTGGGTGGCCGGGTGAAAAGGCGAAGTGGACAGCACCAGGGGTTTCTCCGACTCTCCACCAGGAAAGGTTACCTGGAACCAGACGGCAAAGCCATGCATGGGCGCCGAGCCGTAGCTGCTGCAACGGAAGCGCCCGCCCACCCCGGCCACCAGCTCCTGCTCCAAGCCCACGCGGGCCAGATCAAGCTGAGCAAAGCGTTGCGGTCGGGCCAGCACATCCTCGCCGGACAGGCCCTGCACCACGATCTCCGAGTGGCCCATGAGGCAGCGCGTAGCGAAGCTCTCCAGGCAGCTCATGTCCACACCATAGTGCTGCTTCACCTGGCTCCAGAAGCCTAGGCGCCACTCCAGCATCTGGTCGCTGATGGGGGCTACGAAGAGCTCGGCGGAAGCTGGCAGGAGAAGACCACCCTCTTTCAGCCACTTGGTCCGCGCGTGCAGCACCGAGCTCAGCATGGACTCGTGCAGCAGTCCGTAGCCCATCCACTCGCTCACAATGGCGTCCACCTGCTCTGGCAACTCCACTGTCTCCACCGGCCCGGGCAGGACGTGCACCCGGTCTTCCAGCCCGTTGAGCCGCACCACCTCCCGGGCCTGTTGCCAGATGGCGCTGGCTTCCACCGCGTACACGCGCCGGGCCCCGGCCTGGGCACAGAAGATGCTCAGAATGCCGGTGCCCGCGCCCACGTCCAGCACGGTCTTGCCCCGCAGAGCCGCCCAGTTCCGCAGGATGCCTAAGCGGTAGGCATCGGTGCGGACGCGGTCCGCGATCATCTCCTCGTGGACCGAAACGTCCGAGTAGCACTCGTAGTACAACTGGTCCCGCTCCCGTTTCGTCCTCCGGGGTCGCTGCAGGGCCGCCTCCTGCTCCCCGCCATCTTCCTCCTCACTTCCCTCCCCTCCTTCGCCGCCGCCCCCCGACTCAACCTTTCTTTTCTTGGGCTGCGACATCTTGGCGGCTGCGGCCGGCTCCCGGCGGGCGTTGCGCGGCCCCGCGCGGGCTCCGGGAAACAGGGGCTTCTGGGACTTGTAGTGCGCGCTTCGGCTCCGCACTTCCTGCGGGGTCGCGGGGTCGCGGGGTCGCGGGGCCGGGGCCGGGGCAGCCCCAGGGCGGCCGGACACTTCCCGTCCTCCTCCTGCTCCTGTGGTGTGTAGCCGTCCCATTTCCCATTCACCACTCGCGTGTTCTGCGATTCTCTCATTTTTACCTAAGCTCCTCAGATTTCCTTTGCTTTCACTCATTTTCTGAAGCAGACCCGCCTACTTAAAACTAAAAATCCACTTTAGTCTACTCTGCTGAACTCGCCGGGTTTAAGCCACCGAGTTAGGATGGAGGCCTTCCCTGCACGGTGCAACAGTTAAAGCTCCCCAGACTTGGCGATTTAGACATTGCACTGCACATTTCTATTTTCTTTATTTAGAGTTACAGAAATTAGAGTATAAGGAAGGTGTAAATGGAACAAAATAACCTAACAATGTGGAACCTGGATACTTATTCCAACGTGACCATTAATATTTTTGTTTTGTGTGTTTTTTTTTAGACAGGGTCTAGCTATGTTGCCCAGTTTGGAGTGTAGTGGCGCAGTTACAGCCAACTGCAGCCTCATGGGCTGAAGCAATCGTCCCGTCTAGGCTTCACAATGTTCTGGGACTACAGGGTGAGCCATGATGCCTGGATAATGTGAACACTAATTACTTAAATGATTCAGGGCAAGTAATTGAAGTTCCCTGGCATCACCTCCTCATTCACCTATCAGCAACAAAGACTCTTCATTGCAGTCGGGGAAGAATTACTGGTATGTTTTCGGTGTTTCTCATTTCTATTTCAGGACAATAGTTACTTGTTTCTAGTTCCTTACATTCAGAATTATCAGAATAATTCTCTGGCTCTTTCATGAGTTAAATCCTAGAAGGCTAAAGAGCTACTAAAAAGCAGTAGTGGTGTGATACAGACTCATTGCTAGGTATACTATGGTAACCAAGTATAGTTTTTTTCTCTGAGAATTAACAGAGTCCTTAATCTTTTTGATCACTTTTTCACAGCAACTTATTTTTTCCTCTGTTTCCTTGTTTGGGCAAGACTGATACGCTCTTCTATTTTTCTTATAGTCAACCATGAGCTGATTTAATCTCTTCTCTTTTTGTTGATAATGGAAAGAAAATGTATTTTGAAATATGTGTGATATCCATATGAGTATCTATATTCTTAACAAGTAAGATGAGAACGCCCTTTTCTACCACTTTAGAAAAAAAGATGATGCAGAGGAAAAATGTTAATTTTTTATGGTCTTGAACTACATCCATTTTCTCCCATTCTTGTCTGGGAGAAAAGTTCCTTCACCCCATTCTATTAATCTTTTATTAATGGAATAGGTTTATTGATGTGGTATCCTCAGCTCTACTCTACTTCTAACTCAAGACTTTCAATCCTGGCTGCTCATTAGAATCCTCTAAGGAGCTTTTAAAAAATACCTATGCCTGGGTCTATCTCAGGCCAATTAAATCAGAATTACTCCCATGGAAACTGGGCATCTAATTTTTAAAAGGTCCACAGGGAATTGTAATGTGCAGCCAGGGTGAGAACTACTGTTTCTCACTAAAATAATCTTCGTTAAATCTTGCTTTACTATTTTCATTATGTGCATTATATTTTTTTCAGTGGCCTAGGTTCAACCACTTCCGGCTAAAAATCCTTAAGGCAGTTCTCTCTCTGTGCTTTGGCTTAATACCGTGTTTTAAGAAAACTGAGGCCTGTAATACAGCATGGGATTAAAGTTATAAATGTGACTGCTTTAGTACCTTACTTTTAGGCTGTCAGTTAGTATATATTTCTTCCATTTTTTATTCCTCAAAATGTCATCCCTTCATTTAAAATACATTCACTCAACCCACGTTCTGATTTGCTTCCTTGTTATCTCTTGTAAGGAAATTCTGAATATAAGTTTTGCCGGTTCTCCCTTCAAAATAGATGGTGAATTTATCTGCTTTTCTCCATCATCATTGTCAAAACTCTGGTTTAACCTTTCATCTTTACTTGCCTTGCAATTATTCTCTTAAGGGCTCTCCAGCTTCTAATCACACCCCTGTCTGATCACCTCTCCACATAGCTGAAAGAATAAGCCTTTAAAGACTCAAATTGGATCATATCATTCTCTCATAACTTCCCAGTCCAGTTACTTAACAATGCAGTAACTTCAGATAATTTCCCATCTAATCTCATACCATTCTTTTCAACTCCTCATTGGGGTCAAGGTATACTGGCCTTCAGCAGAGTGCTGTGGCTCATGCCTGTGATCCCAGTGACTTGGGGGACTAAGGTGGGAGGATAAATAAATACTGATCTTCCAGTATTATATTTCTTTCCCATGTCATGTCTTCACTTTTGCTTTTCTCCTTAGCACGTCACTTTAACGGCTTCTTCTAATCCCTCTGTCTCGAAGTAGATTGTACCTCCTGAGAAAGGCCTTCTCTGGCTACTTTAGATAATATTTTTTAACCCAAGACACTATTTTCCTTCCTAGGCTTTATTATTATCTGTATGTATTTAGTTAACTTGTTTTTTGTGCAATATAAACTGTAGGAGACTTGAATTTTTGTTTCCCCACTATTATAGTTGTCAGCACTAGAATAGAACCTGGTGCATAGAAAGTGCTCAATAAATAGTCTTAAATAGAGATTACTGTGGATGCACAAATTGTTATGCACAGAAGAAGAATCAGAGAGCGTTTTGCCCTTTTACTTCAGTGTGACAATGTAACTCTGATAAACTCTGAGATAAATCCAGATATAGATTGAATATAGAATGCTCCCAGAAATGAGAATAGTTTCATTTTTAAATGCTTTTAACCTTCTAGATTAGTGGTTCTCAGCCTTCCTAGTGCTGCGACCCTTTAATACAGTTCCTCATGTTGTAGCAAGGAAAATAATTTTATGGTTGGGGGTCACCACAACATGAGGAACTATATTAAAGCGTCGCGGCATTAGGAAGGTTGAGAACCACTGTTCTAGATAGAATAATGGTAAGCGCCCAGTATTATACCCAGTGCAGAGGAGAAAAAGCTTACACACAAGCACTTTGCCTTTCTGCACTTTGGCTTGTTACAGAAAGGGAGTTTTTTACTGATCTTTTCTATTACACTGAATTGCTATTAAGTAGGACTAGTAGGAATAGGACCTAAGTCCCAGTCCTTCCCTGAGCATTGCAGCTCAGCAGCAAAACACCCAATGGGAGAAGAGCTGGAGCCCTGCTGGTGGGGCATTCATTGCATTTCCATCCCAGTGATCTGCTTACCACATCTCTCCAATGCTCAAACTCAATGATCAAACAAATGATCAAACAAATGATCTTCAGTTGAATTTAGTACATCTTGACCAGTACTAAACAAGATTAAATAGATCAAAAAATCTTAAATACATTCAATGATTAAAGGTAGGTATTGTTTCATAAAGCTTACTTCAGTCAAGTGTGCTGTATGTATATTTCTTTTCTTTTTTTTTTTTTTCGAGACAGTCTCACTTTGTCAACCTTACCCTCAGTGGAGTGCTATGGTATCATAGCTCACAGTAACCTCAAACTCTTGGGCTCCAGTGACCCTCTTGCCTCAGCCTCCCAAGTTTTTGGGACTATAGGTGCCTTCCACAATGCCCAGCTATTTTTATAGACAGGCTCTTGCTCTTGTTCAGGCTGGTCTGGAACTCCTAAGCTCAAGCAATCCACCTGCCTTGGCCTCCCAGAGTGTGATTACAGGCATGAGCCACTGCATCTGGCTTCTATGTATATTTCTTACTTCAGGTTATGGTTAAAAAGTTTGAAATCTACAGTTTACTTTTCTCCAAAAATACTGTGAACTTTGCCACTTCTGTTCCTTTGCTTTAGGTGCCTGTACCATTTTGTCCTCTCATTCGTCTTTGTAGATAATTCTCAAAAGTTATTCCTTTGTAGCTTTTTAGACCAGTCTGTGGTCTTTTAATACTTATGTATAACTCTTTTTCATCTATCCCATTGTAATCAGAGCTATTTATATCTGGCTTTCTAGGGCCAGATTGTGGACACTGGAACATCAAGACCTAGTATTTTCTACTTTATAGTACAAAGTTTATATGTTGTGCTGGAATTTGAACCATTTCCCTACTCCAGATTATTAATCCTGATTATTGGATAACTGGGAGAATTATAATCCATTTTCTGTATCACAGGCATTCATTTATTCAATAAACATTTTGGACTTCTCTGCGCTACATGTTATTCTAAAAACAAGGACTATAATAACAGAAAGACCAACATCCTTATCCTGGAGGAGTTTATCGTTTTGTATAAATGCCATGTTACCTATTATTCCAGCAAATGATTATACCACTTTTAAAATCTCAGCTCTTTTTTCTGTATTATTTTATCTTGGACGTGCTGATGTGATCTCCTCCTATAAATACTTATTTCTAATTTCCTTTCAAGATCTGTTGTTTAAACATGTATTTGAAAGCTCAGTATAAGGATTGAAGATAGTTCCTTCAGGATTTCTAGAATTCATTGTAATTCTCAAAGTGTATGTTGGGGAAGGGTAAAGGAGCAATGACATGAAAAATGTTATAAATATCTCTTTGATATGAATATTCATTAAATGCTGTAGTTCTCACCATTCTGCAGTTACTTGGAAGCTGCATGATGGAAAGAGGCACTTCTGTCTAAAAAAAAATTATAGAAAATAAAGACAAAAAGGGGGTGATTTTTTGTATATGAACAAATTAGGACATTACACATAAAAAAGCTTTGGTATATGTTACCCTCATGATGCGTATACTGTCTTTTACATCTGTGGTGTATCAGCCCAGCATTTAGATCTAATACTAAAACAGATGCATGGCAAATTTATAGCTCCCTGATGATATTATTATGAGTGGGTCTAATTCTTTTAAAGAATGTTTGTACTGAATAGTTTAGGTAGTGACTATAGAATATTATATACTTTATGCATGATTGTCAACTCAGTTTATGTTTTTTGAGACCTCTTAGAATATAAAATATGTCATTTTAACA